CCAGCTGGTGGTCGGCCTGCTCCGTCTCTGCCGCTTGCCAGCTACGCCTCGGCCGGCGCAGGGGGCGGAACCACGCATGTGCGGCGCTCCCGGGCAGGGAAAGTCCTCGACTTACGACCGGTTGGGTAGTCCTCGACTTACAACCGGTTTAGTCCTCGACTTACGACCGGTTTAGTCCTCGACTTACGACCGGTTGGGGGTCGCGGCATTAAAAAGGTTGAGAACCACTGTTCTAACGCATCTATCGATGGTTTATTCTACAGTTCTTTCCCCATTTCAAGTTTTTGTACTGAGCGAAGGATGCGGGCTGAATTTTGTTTTCCCAGCATAGCCATTTGTTAACTTGACTATTCCAGTAAATAAAATAAAACGCTTCTATTCAGCTGAATAAAACCAAATTGTAAATACAACCCTGTTTGGCATCGTGGACACCTATAACGTGGTTTGTTTGAACTGGCTTTGTACAAGCAGCAAATCGAGCCCTTAGGCCTCATAAACCACAGTTTATGGCTGTGTGCACACTCAAGTCATGGCGATTCATTCAACAAAACTCATTTGAGCATGTGATCCAATCCCAACTTTTGGAAATTATTCAATGATTATCTCTGGCCTAAGTGGCCAGTTTTCCCATTAAGGTGACTTCTTATTGGGATCGAAGATTGTCTTCATGCAACTGCTGATCTGTGCCTCTTTTCCAAAAAGAGTGGATGCAAAAGATTTGCTCTTTTCAAGATTGGGGCAGAGAATAATCTGGGATGTAAAAAGCTGCACTGGGCTCTAAAGCTGGGGGGAGGGGGGGAAGGAGGCCATGCCCAGTATTACTTGCCACTTAAAATGAGCAGTGCAAAAAAAAAAGCACTGTTTGTTGGCAAGATCCGTTGTAAACCTTGAGCTGTGGTGGAGCAGTGGTTAGAAGGCAGTACTGCTGCTGCCAGCAGTTCGGCAGTTCGATTCTCACTGGCTCAAGGTTGACTCAGCCTTCCATCCTTCCGAGGTCGGTAAAATGAGGACCCAGATAATAATAATAATAATAATAATAATAATAATAATAATAATAATAATAATAATAATAATAATAGTAATAGTAATAATAGTAATAATAATAAAAAAGTTGGAAGGGACCTTGTAGGTCAGTGGTGGCGAACCTATGGCACGGGTGCCAGAGGCGGCACTCAGAGCCCTCTCTGTGGGCACGCGCGCCATTGCCCCAGTCCTAGGCCTTCAGCTGGGTTTTATAAAACTTTTTCGCTTTAGGCCTCCACCGCCGTGTGCAAAAAAAAAAAAAGGTTCAATCAGTCAATTTGAACTTCTTGCGGGGAAAAAAAAAGATCTTGT